AATAATATAGTATATAAAAATATGGTATAATATGGTATATATTGGTATATCATACTAGAATATACTATAGTAATATGTACATGGTCATGAAGCCATGCTAGGATTGGTCGAAGGGTCAGACGGTCGTCCTGAAACCTGAAGATGATCAGATTCTGACAAAGTCTTCGGAATGCTACCCACAAAGCTGCGGCCTTGAAGCAAAACCTACGCTGGCTAGGCGCCCTAAACCGACGATCGTCGACCCTGATAACTAGGTAAGAAAGTACGTGTCTGCAGGGACAATCTTTCTGACACCTGAGCCGTGCAGACGAGGCAAGTCTGTCAAAAGAGAACTCGCCCACAGAAGGCCCAGAACCGGGGTCTAGGGTCTAGGGTTTAGGACCTCCAGCCCCCGATCTATGACCCTGTAGTTTTGCGGCGGCTTAGAGGGTATAGGGTTTAAGTTTGAGGTCATAACTATGGTAAAGAGCAGGGGTGTATTCATCAGGGCTTTACATTGTCCGGTGAGAGCCTTTTGTGTCACATTGTGGCCTTCATTATTCGAATAGGGTTTTTGTGCACATCATACTATATAGCCATACGAAATAAAATAAGGACTACACTCGGCTGTGCAAGTTTTCTCAAAAGCCCATATCTTCTGATACAACCAGGGGCAAGAAACCCTATCAAGTCTAGACCCTAGAAGATCCAAGTACCCAAATTGAAGGGTTTTAGGTCCCTGAACCCGGAACCCCAAACCCCAAATTACTAAACCCTACTCTGAATGGGGTTTTTGGGTAGCTAAATCGGGCACGTTTATAACCTTGCTTCTACAGGGTTCTGGCCACTGGCATCAATAATGTAAGAGCCTTAATAATTAGCATAGGGCTTGGGTGTAAATTTTACTATACATGTAATGAGGAAACCCCAAAATAGTATTGGCAATTACTTAGCCACCTATATTGCACCTGAGGCCCGCTGGGTATGAACCACTGAGGGGTTCGGATCCGCACCTAAGCTCTATTTGCACTGCCTATGCTTTGCCTCCGGAATAACGGGTTGCATTGAGGCTAGTGTCGGGCCCTTAATAATTAGAATAGGGTTTTGGGGTTCCTCATTATAATTATAGTATATTGGAGGGCTCAGAAGACGGACTGCAGACGTCCGATTGCTAGAGCCCCAGGCGCTTTTTGCGTCGCCCCGTTTTTGCTTCGAAGCCATTGCCCGTTCTCCCGGCTGGCACAGACGGTTGGGGAAGCGAAGGTCCAGGGTTCGCCGACGAGCTGCTAAGGGAGAGATCACGAGGAGTTCTCGACTTGTCCTGCTCTCGGAACACCACGGGACTGCACCTCTACAGCGGTCTCTTTTAGAGATACGCATGGGTAGAGGGAATCGCCGACCGCCATGGCAAAAGGAGCAAAAGGCCCCTTCTCAATACTATACGTATTGGTCGGGTGCGGATGCTTACAGGTCGCCTCGTGGCGACCCGAAACGCAAGGCCAGGTCGAAGACTGCATTCCCTGCGTACGAGGACGTGCAGCAGGACGAGCAGATCTCCGAGATCCGCTCCACGAGGGCGGACTCCTCCGGGTCGACCGGCTTGGTTCAGAGCGTGCAGCAGGCCATCAACTCGGCCAGGAAAATCGACCAGCGGCTCTCCAAGTTGCGGAACGAGTTGGATACCGAAGACCAGGCGTGGAAATCCTACGTCAACAAATCCATCCAGGCCTTCCAGAAGGAAAAGACTCGGCATCAACAAGATGGCCAACGTTTGGCCTCCGAGATTGCGGATCTGGAAGCTCAAAGAGCAAGCGCCTATCAGAATGTTCGTCAGACTGCTCTCGAGGCAAGGATGACTGGGCAGGCGCTGCAGTCTGTGGCCATGGATGTGGAAGACGAGGACGACGACACGGCTCTAGGAGCCGAGCTGATTCGTATGATGCAGACCGCCGCTGCAGAGGCCTCGGCGCCAAGCCAGGCGGGTATGGCTACACCCGCTCGCACCACCAAGGCTATGCCGCGAACGCCCAAGGTGGAGCCCCGTGTGGCGGCGGATCCTGGCCCTTTGCCTTCGGATCCTTATCTTACCTCGCCGGGCATGGCGCATTTTGGTGTACACACTGTGTCTCAGGCCGCGGTTCCTGCAGGTGGCAATATGGACCTCGATCGGACCTCGGGGCCTCCGCCTTCTACGGAGCCCATGCAGGCTATGGCCCCTTTGAGTGTGGGAGAACGCATCTCCGAGAAACGACGTGCTCATCGTTCTGCTCTGGCGCCATTCGGCTTGCCTCCCAAGACTCCTCGTCCTTTGGGCGAGCCGCCAGGTCTGGGCGGCCCCACTGCTCCGGAGCAAACCGACCCCAATGCTGTGAACTTGGTTTACGACGATGGAGACGAGGAGTTGGCCGCTGCGGCCTCTCCCGGGTTCACGACAATGGAGTAATGTGCCTTCTCCTCGGCAGCTTCGCTTTCTGGCCGTTGGCAGGAATGGAGACTAGTGCGGCCTGCTGTCCGCTGGTAGGCCCGACACCTCCTTGTTTTTTACAAGGTGGTTGTCAGTTGCCAGTCGGCTGGACTACCAGGCTGCACTCTTCTCCGGACCTGTTCTTCGGTACATCCGTGACGTCCTTTTCGCTTGTACAGGGATCTTGTGTACAGCTCGTCAGCCTCCCTTTTGCGGTCTCCCCTGGCTGCTTTGGTCGCATGGCCAAGTGGCTCGGTGTGTCTCATTCCTTATGTGGGCCCTGCCTCCCGCCCCTTCACATACAGGGATTGTTTTGGACTTTCTGCCCAGGGCGCCTTTTCCTTTGCCTCCTCGTCCGTCACTGTGACCTTGGCATTCCTTCTGCATTTGGCGACAACCCATGGTTCTGCACTTCCGCTTTGACGTTGAGCTCCGATAGCTCCGTCTCGATTTTGGGTTCCGATGCAGGGCTCCTTCTGGAGGAGCAGCTTGCCTTCTCTACGTTCCTTCCTAGGAGCCTAAAAGTGATATCGGTGGCTCAGGGATCACTTCCTAGGTCGGTTACGGAACCGTCTTTTGCTCGTCCTGGCAGATGTGTGCTGTGCCTTCCTGCCTGGGGAGTTTTGTCTTGTTTGGGGTCCCCGGCGTTGAGCCCTGATGGCTCCGTCTGCATCCATGATTGTCGTTTGCCGAATCCTGGGAGCCTAAAAGTGATATCGGTGGCTCAGGGATCACTTCCCAGGACGGCGGCGGTATGCAGCTTGGTTGTCTGTCTGCCAGCAGTGTCCTTGCGTATGTTGCGCTCATCTTTGTCGTTCTTGGTTGTCTGCCGCGGCGTTTGCTCCTATTGTCGGAACTTGACTGCGTCGTTGGCTTCTCTCGCTGCTTTTTTGAGAGACTTGAGGTATGTCTCCCGGACTTGTGGCGGCCCCCTGAATCAACATCTTCAGGTGGCTTTGCGTTGCTTGGCGCGGGTTCGATTGGCCTCGTCATCGTTGCTCCAAGGACGAGTTGGGCCCTTGCTTGGGTTGAGCAACAAGCTGCTGCGTGCATGCTTGGAAGCCTTTTGTTTGTGTTCCTTGATCTTTGGCGTATGTTGGGACATCAGCTTGGCTTCCGGCTGTCGCCGCTTGGACGAGTTTGCTTGCTTGGTGTCGATCGTGGAGGGCGCAGTGTCGGTGGTCTTGGGCTTATATCCCATGCAAGATGTGGGCCCCTGGACTGGAGACCTCTCTATACACCGCGTCGTTGCCGCTTTTGCTGCCAGCGTATGCAGCCGAAGTCTCTGCCCCAAGGTGTCGTGTGAACACGGGGCCACGGTTGAGTTGCTTTGGGTCGCGCATGTGGCTGTTGCTTGTTGGTTTTTCAGCGATGCCACGTCCTGTTGATGCTGGTTGCCTTACCCGCTCGTCCTTGATCGCCATGTCGCTGGTGAGGTGCCATGCTGTGACGGGCACCTCCCACTTTCCTGATCATCGTGGAATTGCGAGGCATCTCCAGCGTGTTGAAGATCTTGTCCACTTTATGGGACCCACTCAGCTCATCGATCATGACCAGCCTCCAGCTGTTTCCCCCGCGCGACAGTGGCTTGCTCGCCTGCCTGCAGATCTTCCTTCACTGCCGACAGATGATGCCGACATGGATGGGAGCCGTTGGCTTGGGGTGCACATTTATACGCCCCACTTTCGCCCTGTTGCAGTTGCGATCAGGTGTCAGCGGGGCCACGGCCTGCAGGATGTGCTTGATGTCATTGCCGAAGATGCCCCCGGGGGTGGGCTTAGAGCAGGACAAATCTGTGTACCTGTACGCCCTCAGAGGTTTTCTAGTAGTGGGACTTTCTTGCGCTTTCCTTCCGTGATTCGGCGGTATCCCGGTCAGCGCATGTCTGCTGTCATTCTTGACATGAGCATGGTCGGTGGACATTATTATGCTTGCATTTTGCCGCACCGCATCTCCTACCAAGAGTTGGAGGATTTTGTGGTTCCACAGACAAGCTATTCCGATCACCCCCTTGTTATGTATGTCGCTGACCATGTTAGTCCCCATCCCCCTGGTCAGCCGCTTCTGCTCCAAGATGGCGACGCAATCACTTTCTGTCGTGAGCCGCGCACATGGGGATGGCACCCCCTGGCTGCCGACCTTTTCACAGGGATGTCAGAATGGTGTCCTGTGGGTCAGTTATCGCATCCAGCAGTCGGCACAGGCATACTCGTGCAGCACTATGGCGAGCGGTTCTTTATGCCGGCTCATCACCACTATGGGCAGTCTGCACTTGAGGCCGCTACAGAGGCGTGTGGTCTTACGGCACCTGATTGCACTTCTTGTGCCTTTGCGACCCCTGATCTTGAGTTTCGGCGAAATCCATGTGCCCATATCCTCTCCCTGATCGGGCTGCCCAGTGCCCCGCGCGAGGCTCCTTCAAGAGAACGGCGGCGAGATGTGTTCGTTCTTTGTGATTTTCGTGCCGCGGGCTACAACCCTCGTGTGGTCCATTCGCACGTGCCTGTGCTGCATATCCCTTCTCTTGCGGCTAACCTCGGTATCCGAATCCCTCAAGGGACCCGACTGGCTACTGATGACGGGGTCATTGCTGGAGATGAGGTTCGATTTGAGGGGGTTTCGGTTCTGTTTTTCTATGTTGTGGACTGCGGCGACGCTCCTGACTCTCACTCTGATGGTGAACCTCGCCATGGGTCGGGGCGCGATGACGGTCGTCGCCCACCTTCTGGAGATGGTCACGACCGTCTCTCGCATGAGGGTCGCCTGCCCCCTGTTCGCAATCGCTCTCGGTCTGGGCGACGTGGTCATGTCACGCTTCGTCCAGCGCACGGAAGGTCAGTTGTTATGCCTATGCAGGTGAAACTCCGTGTTCCCTGCGGTTCTGATCTTTTCTCCTCCCTCTTTGTTGGTGCCGCCTCTGGTGTTGCCAACAAGCGTGCAGGCGAGATGTGCAAGTGGGTTAGGGACTTCATGCACGATGTCTTTGCTGAAGACGAGTCCCGGCTCACCCCTGCTTCCCTTGCCTACTCAGGTAATTTGGAGGACCAGTGCATCCCCTTGGCCAGTGCCGCTTGCCTGATGCGTCCGGCGAAAAGCTCCATCTCCACCTGTAAGCTTCTCCGAGAGCCTACTTCTCACAGTGCTGCGGCTAGGAATGATCTCCTTTTTGTTCGCGACTTTGAGGAGGCCGCAGGCAGGGAGTGGCCGTACCTCCCAGCAGACGACCCATATGCCCTTCAGGAGATAGCTGATCAGTTCGACGAGGAGGGACAGGCTCAGGTCGAGGGGGCTGCTGATTTTGTCGCGTGCCTCCTTACCCCGGAGTATGTTCCCGAAGTGGTGCTAGTCTCCCTGGCTCCACCTGTCGCTATCGAGGTTGCTCTAGCCGCCATTCAGGAGTCTCGCGATGCGGTGAGAGATCGCCTTTTTCCTGTCATGCTGGCGGTTGTACCGCAACCCTCCCAAAGCTACGGCCTTTTCTTAGCTTTGCCAGGGTGGGCGATTTCCGAGCTCGTGGTGTGTTTCGATCTGTCCGAAGTGGACGGCAGAGTCTTTGCTGACGGTGCTCCCGCATCTGCTTCCAAGGGCACTCTGCTCAACATTGCAGGTCTACAAGACGATGCCGGATATGACGTATATATGGGCGCCAGCCCAACACCCCTGCAAGACGACGACGAGGCTGATCTCTGGCAGGGTCTGTGCATTTTTGTGGTGCCGCGGCACACCCTCCCGGGGCCGTATTTCCGCCTGGAGGACACTCTCCTTACTTCTGCGGCATGGGAGGAATCCCCACAGGTCCCGATGGAGGATACTGTGCGGTGGGCGAGGAAGGGCACCGCCGCTTACCTGCTGCTGACGACTCGCCTTTCATTGACGTCCCTGCGCTCGCGGCCTGGTGTCGAGTCTCGGCTTCCAGCTGACTCAGCTATGCCTTGCACTGCGCCAGCTCGTCATGGTATGTCGCCAGCCTAAGCCTTGTTGCTGGGAAAGAACGCCTCTTCGGCCTTACAGCCGCCTACGCCTTGACACAGTCGGCAATCCCTACGGTCACCGATGTCATGATAAAGGGCTACTATTGTAGGAACGTGTTTGCCGTGTCTGATTCCACAGACCCAACCACTCTTCAGAGGGTCAGTCGCCTGGTTATTGCTCTGGTCGATTGTAGGGCTTTGATGCAGGGCTGGCAGATGCTTTCCTCTGTCGATGGAGCTGTTCCCAAGCAGCCCTTTGAAGACTTTTTGTCTACATTTGTCCCGCCTGGATGGTGCCTGCACCTCGAAGGAATCCATGGTGAAGGGGACGCCTATCGGATCATCCCAGGCCAGGTCGTCTATGCCTCCTTTGTGCCTATCCCGGTCCGTACTGAAGGGCCTTCTGATCAGGCTGAAAGCGAGTCTCTTTCCGACGGATCGCAGGCGGACTCCACTGCAGGCGAGGCTTCATCCACCGATTCGTTGCACGATCATTCACGTCGCCGGTCTCGGAGCAGACCGCCTTACCGAGAGCATGGCGGCTCTCCTTCCGATGGCAACGTTGCAGCTTGTGCGCCCTTCTTGATCTTTGGGCTGGAATACGCCCCCGAGGAGGTTCTGATCTCATTGCCTGCTGCCCCTTGTGTCGACAGTGTGCTTGCGTTGGTGCAGGCAGGGCGCGAATCAGCAGCACGAGCACGGTTTCCTGTATTGGTTCCCGTCTTCCCACAGTCTCTAGGATCCGCTGCCTTAGTTGTTGCTCAACCGAGCTGGTGCGACCAGCCCCACGCCTTGTTTGATTGCTCGTACGTCACAGGTGCGATCTTTTCTGCGATCGTGTCTCCCGTCATGGATCGAGCGTCGCTCTTAGCTGTGGCAGGACTGTCCCACATCTCGGATCTGGAGGTCTATGTTCCCGAGCTTGATGTACCTATGTCTGAGCACGCTACCTGCAGGCTTAGCACAGGTGCCTGTGTGGCATTCACCCCGTCGTCATGTCCTCACGTTGTGGTGTCTTCATTGGACGATATGACCCTCTCTTCCGACGGTTGGGATCCCACTGCACCGCGTCCGAGCGTCCGCGGACCTTGGCTTCATCTCCTTACAGACACCGGCCTTCGGGCCGTCAGGAGTTTTTGCAGCGCGAGATTCCTGCAGCACTCGGTGTTCCGAGTTCTTCCTTGCTTGTTCAGATGGCCCACCCTCCGCTTGAGGACTATTCTGATGAGGGCCGTCTCGCCTGGAACATTGGTGTTGCACAACAAGTTCCCCAGGAGGGTACATCCCCACAGTCTTGCCTGGTCTTGGTGGATCTTCGGCCCATCTTATGCGGTGTGACTTGGATTCTCTCACATGACGGGCGGGTCTCGGCTGCCCGTATCCGCGCACAGTGTATGCGCCCTGCGCTGGTCGGTCACAGGCTTTGTGTTACTGGGGGTAGGCGCTCTGCAGAGACCGACGCCGACCTCGCGCTTGTTTTGGGAGGGGATGTGTTGGTCGTCAGTGTTCCATTGTGCGCTTCGGATAGCGACAGAGTTGTTGAGCCTACACATGGTCCTGCCGCGCGGCCTGGTCCATCGCATCCTGGACCCTCTGTTCCTCCAGGCTTTTCAGGCAACGAACCTCCGCCAAGCGCACAGGCCACACCCAATGTGTCGTGAAATGAGCAGAGTGGACATGTTGGACACTCTGGTGCACCTGCCGGTTGCCGGTCTCCTTGCAATGCTCATGCCGGGCGGTTTTGCGGTCGCGGGCCGCCCTCGCCAATACTTGCAAATGCGCTGGCTTCGGCATGCTGCGTTAGTGTTCTCACGTTTTTCTTCACCTGGGTGCTTTGGGATAGCTTCTGTCTTCTCGTTGGCCTTTTGCTTGTGCGCCGCAGGCGGACCCTTGCAGTTTGCATCGTTGTCCTCAGTCTTCAGCACTCGCCCTGCGCTGTGGCCATGCCAGTGCCAACACCCTGTCGGTCGGGAAACGGACTTACTCAGGGCTCCCTTCCCCTTGCCAGGATCCAGGGAGCGGTCTCTGGCCCACCGGAGGCGCTTCTCTTGGACGACTCGACCTCTGATTGCATTTTACAGTTCCATCTCAAGACGCTGCTCGAGGACAGCGTTGTTCGGAGTGAGCATGAGCCCCTGTCTGAGGCTGCCATGCAGCTGGAGACGTTGTTCGAGCATTTTTCCCGCCAACATCGTGCCGAGGCAACTTTGTCTGTTTCTCAGCTTCCGCCAAGTCGTGCATGCACGCCGGTGCATCAGCTGTGCCTCGACGATTTGCTTCCCTTGTCTACGGCGAAGTCTTGTGGGCCTTCTTCGCCAGAGGTCTTCGATTTGGATGGACGACAATGCCTCCTCCCGGGGTCCCCTGAGCAGATTGACTCTGTCCTGCAGCGTGTATCCTTTTCTCAGCTACAAACTACAAAGTGCTCCCTCTGGGCTCGAGCGGCCGGAGCGATTTGCCCATCGGATCAGCCGGGGCTCTGTTGCCCGTGTGCCTGCGACGAACGAAGTTATTGTGCTCACGTCCGATGGCTCGTTCCAAGCGAGTACTGGACGCGCAGGATGGGGCTTGGTGGTGAGCCTTGTCGATGAATCTTTTCGCCTGCCGGGGCAGTTTGTTGGGTGCTTTTACGGGAACATGGCTTCTCTTCTCGGTCCAAACCATGCAGAGCTTGCGTGCAGCGATGCTTAATTCGCGGAGGTCGCTGGCCTCGGATGGTGCGCGCTGGCTATCCTTCAGCTGGTCACACGTGTGCCCTTCTTGGTTCGCGCTGATAACATATCAGCTCTGGATGGTGCCCGGGGTTGCGCAGGCATGCGTGATGATCCACTATGCCAGGCGGTACGCTGCCTTCATGCGGCTGCGGGAGTGGCTGCATCCGCGCCGCCTTGCTATCAGCATGTGCATGGTCATGCGGGTGATTTTGCTAATGAGTTGGCGGACGCACTTGCTAACTTTGGGGCAGGAGGGCGCCAGTCACTCTTCCCGCTCACCTTTGATACCTCGCTTGTCTCGGCCTCTCTTCAGGCTTTGAAATGGCTTCCCCATGTGTGTCTGTCCCGGGCAAGAGGAGACGAGTTCCCTCGCTTACATCAGCAGCTTCTCACCTGGAGTCGCGGCCCAGGGCGATGTGATAGGAGTCCCGATTTTGCAATGCGCCCGTTCCTCCGTGCCTTCCCCTCACCAAGTGGTCCTGAGCATGAGGAGGCGGAGTCTCTGCCGATGGTCTGGAAGTTTGCCAGTTTCAATGCGCTATCGCTTTTGGACGGGACTCGAGGGGATGAACGGGCAGGTGGTCTTCAGGGTGCCGTCGGCCGCCCTTCACCTGCGCAGTTCAGGCATTCTCGTGGCTGGGCTACAGGAGTGTCGGACCGCATCCGGTTTGTCGCTATGCGGCCATTATTCGCGCTTTGCTTCCGGGGCAGATGACAGGGGCTGCTTGGGGTCGAGCTGTGGATTCACGACTGCAGCCCTTGCCAGGCTGCTTCGATTGTTGCTTTGTACTCCTCGCCCACTGTGCTCATTGCATCAGGACAGGCCGAGGGCTTGTCACTGCGTTTCCTCGTGGCGCATGCGCCTCATCGTGCTCATTCGACCCACACCAAGCGACAATGGTGGCAGCATTTGTCGCATCTCTGCCACACGTACTCGGGTGGCGGAGAATGGGTGTTCATGCTTGATGCCAACTGCAGAGTTGGGAGCTTGGTATCCGAGGCCATCGGAGGGTTTCAGCCTGACTATCAGGACGAGTCTGGCGAATGGACGTCTTTTTACCCAGCACCTTTGCTCATAGCATGTATGGTGACGGCGGGACTTTGCGGCAGAAGCGTAGTGGGGCCCTTGACCGCTCGGATTTCGTTGGCCTTCCTGCCTCATGGCGAGAAAGCAGATGCAGGGCCTCGACTTCCTCGGGGATATCTGCTGGGCACACTTCGGTTGACCATTTCGCCGCCGTTGTGGAGGTCTCTTTGATTTTTTCCAATCGGCGTCGAGCAACAGCCAGACCTTGCCGTGTTGACGCCCGTGCTATTGCAGATCCTTGCAATGCGGAAGTTGTTTCTCAGATCATTCGAGGCTCCCCACGCCCAGCATGGGATGTTGACGCCAATGAGCATGCTGCTGTGGTGGTTGATCATCTCTATCGTGGTCTTGCCGATGCCTTTCCCCTGCGTCGTCGGCGCATGCATACCGGTTATCTCTCGGAGTCAACCGCCGCCATTCATCGGGTCGTCTCCTCCCTTCGTCATGCTGTGCGAACCAGGAAGGGAGCCCTCAAGCAGGCACTTCTTCGGTGCTGTATGCTGGCTTGGCGCGACGCATCGGCTACTTTTCAAAGCTTTTTCGGGGGTGCTTGGCTGTGGCATTTAGAGATTCGCTATGGTCTCAGCTGCATGCTGCTTCATCGGTACGGCCTTCTGCTAAGACGGGCCTGCAGAGAGGACAGAAACCGTATGTATGCTGACCTTGCGGATGAGATTGCTACGGCGCACCCTGCTGCTGTACACACGCTTGTCAAGAAGGTGATGAAGCCGAAGAAGTACCGTAAGACTGGCAACGACCCTCTCCCTACTCTGTTTCGTGCGGATGGAACCCAGTGTCTCACCGCGAGTGAAGTTGCTGCCACATGGAGGGAGCACTTCCGGGTGCTCGAGGGTGGGACTGCGACCTCTGCTGAGGCCCTTTTGTCGGAGTGCCGGGCTGCCCATTCTGCCTTCTACGGCTCTGACACGGTTGACGTGGATCAGATGCCTACGTTTCTCGATCTCGAGAATGCCCTGCGCCACACGGCGGGGCGCAAGGCAGCAGGTCCGGATTTGATCCCGCCCTCACTCTGCAGGTACTTTAGTACCCCGTTAGCCTCCCTTCTATGGCCTCTGCTTCTCAAAACAGTCTGCCGCGTGTCAGAGGCGGCAGGCATGAAAGGCGGGATCTTGCACCATATCGGGAAACCGCAGCCCAAGTCACCGTACACATGCGACGCAAGACGCGGCATCCTAGTGCAATCGGCCGTGGCGAAGGCCTTTCACAGATCGCTGCGTGGAATCGTGGTGCGTCATTGGCACCGCTTTGCGCTACCCTTGCAAATTGGCGGGAAGGCCGGCAACAGTGCAACGTTTGGGCACCTGTGCTCACGCGCCTTCCTCTCTTTTTCAAAACGCAGTCATCTCTCATCCGTGCTAATATTTGTCGATTTGTCAAGCGCGTATTACGCGGTCATCCGCGAGACCCTGTTTGGACGAGGGCTCTCATCGCGGCCAGTCCACGAGATTGCCGAGGCCCTTGGACTTGACGCATCCGACATGCAGGAGCTCACGCGGCTCATTGAGCAGGAGGCCATCTTGCCCCAGCAGAATGCGCCCCAGCTCTTGCAAGAGCTAGCGGGTGAATTTCACCGGCACACGTGGTTTGTGTTGTCGGGGGATGCTGATATGATCGCCAGACGTCTTGTTTAGCCTCCTATTCGGACAGGCTTTACGCCGCCGGCGATCCAGCGCCCTACAAGCCGCAATGCCGTCCGTGCCTTGGACTGGGGAGCGGACACTCTTCCCAAGTCCATCTGCGTCGGTTGCTTCGTGCACTATCTCCGACATTGTGTACGCAGATGACCTTTGCACTCCCGTCGTCTGCGGCACCGCTGCAGAGCTTCGGCCCACGGTGTCGGCTGTCATTGCTGACACATTTGACACCTTGACCCCGCATGCCTTGCGAATCAACCTGGGCCCGACCAAGACGGCAGCTATCATGGCGCACGCTGGCCCTGGGTCAAGGTCGGCACGACATGAGGCCTTTGGCGTTTTGAAGGGGCGAGTGCCTGCCTGGCCGGAGAGCAAGGGTTTGCAGTGGCTTGACCTTGTGTCCAGATATCGACACCTTGGGTCGATTATCACGTACGACGGTTCCCTTGGCGCTGAGGTTCGGCACAGGCTCGCTTTGGCTCGCCATGCCTTCCGTGATGGGCGACGCCGGCTCTTCGCATGTAGGGATATCCCTGTGACGAGGCGGGCGATTGTCTTCAAGAGCCACGTCACTGCTACTTTGACAGCTGGCATTGGCGGGTGGCCTATTCTGGCAACAGGGGAGTGGCGCGCCTTCTCCGGTGGCCTAGTGGGCCTTTACAGACAGCTATTGGGTCTTCGCGCAGCTGGCAAATGGAATTACACTACCGCGCAGCTGCTTTGCTTGACCGGACTTTCTTCCCCTGAGGCGGTATTGCATGCCGAGCGGCTACGGCTCTTAGGGCAGTTAGTCCGGCACGGACCCGATGAGTTGTGGGCTTTACTGGGGCATTTTTCTGCATACCAGCATGCCATCGTCGCTGCTGGTGATTGGGCCCTTGA